TCGATGGGTTATGGGTTTGAATGGTTAATGCCCTTTTTTTGCTGTCCTTTTTGCTGATTTTGATTCATATCCCAAAGACACAAGAGGAAGCTGAGGAAAGCACTGCAGAGTGAGGGGAAATCCTTTTAGACAGTTGCCACCACAGAGGTCTCTGTTGGCAAACTTTCTGCTTACTTTCTGCTCTTGTAGTAACTCTAAAATGTTGGATTTCCCATCACTTGCAGGCCACCAGGACAAATAAAGAGAGAACACACTTCTTTATTTTTCCTTTTTTTTTAAAAAAAAAGGTTTTGGCTTCACATAGATTTTAAACATTTGCTTGCCTTGATTGCATTGATGCTTTCTGATCTGAGCATGCAGGTCCGTTTGCCCCTTCAGGCACCCAGTACATTTCCCTTTTAAGCCAGGCAAGTCAAAATATTCTCTTTTCTAACTTACACATTTGGTCTGCGTTTCTCCACTTTAGGCCTGAATTTTCCTTCTAGAGGTCTGGTTTTTAATGTATTCATAATTTAAGTACTCTATACTCAGATGAATGAAGCTATCTAGCTCTAGCTCTATAATATCTAACTTAAAATGTATACTTATGTTTGCATAAGGCAAATTTTCTTCCTAAAGTCCAGTCACCAGTCTGTTAATACTGATACACACTATTTATCAGGACTCTAAGGCTCTAAGGAAGACCCACGGGTACGCATTCTAAACATAAAAACCAATACATTTCAATGTATCGTGCTCACACCTGCGCGGCACTAATAAGTGCAAGTGCTATATCCTGTCCCTATTCCACACATTCCAGCTATAGTAGCAACCGCAAACGCATGGCATCTTCATGTTTGTTAAAATTTGCACGTTTTCGTGCCCCAACGCTATGTGTGAGTGAAGCCTTAGGAGAAAATGAAATAGATATATCTAAGAATCGCTTGTAGACCAGATTCAATGAACAGATACTAGTGGATTAAAAAATCACTAATATTTGAATTGTGTATACCAAGGGAACATTTGAACTAAACAGATCATAATTTGAATGATTCAAATATTTTTGACAATTGCACGTTGATGAGCAAGCATCATAGAAAATAATATTTACAAAGCCATTTACCTAAATAATAAATAATGTATATAAAAAGAAAACGGTATAATAAATTGAGCCACATTTTTGTGCCAAAGTGTGTCATAGCCAGAACTAGTCATTGGTCTGAAATACATTGAGGGGAATTTATCAACATAAATGATCCCAACATTTTTGTCAATTACATGTTGATTAGCCAGCATCATAAACATTTATTTTTGGAAACCCGTCTGCCTATTAAGTAGTATGTTAAAAAAAAAAACATAATGTATTGAGCTAAATTTTGTTATCTCTGTGTGCCTTAGCCAGAACTAGTCATTGGCATGAAATACGTTGAGGAGAATTTATCAAAACTGGAGCAGACAGAATCTGGAGCAGTTTCCCATAGTAACCATAGCCACCGCTCCAAGCTCACTCCCGTGATGGACTACAATCACATGTTTAGTTTACTAATTATGTATTGAAATTATAGTCCATCACAGGAGTGAGTTTGGAGTGGTGGTTACTTTACAATACAAACAGGGACCATTAGGAACAAAAGAAGCCAACCTCCAGAAGGAAGGACAGTGTCAGCACCAATTCAGAGATGATTTGAGGATCAACAGCCGAGTGATACACAAATAAGGTACATTTTTGTTACTAGTTAAGGTACTTGATTACATTTCTAATAGGGATGCACCGATACCGATACTAGTATCGGTATTGGTGCCGATACAGAGTATTTGGGTGAGTACTCGTACTCGCCCAAATGCTCCGATGCCTAGCACGAGTACTTCCTGTATCGGGAAGCCGGGCAGCTCGTCATTACACGCTGCCCGGTTTCCTTATTGGCCAGGAAACTGCTCCATGCTCTCTCGTCACTTGTGATGAGAGAGCATGGAGCCGACTTCCCGGCAAATCAGGAAGCCGGGTAGCGTGTAATGACGCGCTGCCCGACTTCCCGATTGGTCAGAAAGCTAGCCAATCCGGAAGCCGGGTGCCGTGTAATGACGCAGCGCCCGGCATTCTGATTGGCCGGGAAGCCAGCGCCATCCTCCCTCGTCATCTCATGAATCATAATATTAAGAAACTGACCTAAAATCATTAGTTTGTATTGCTTTAGAAAAAATGTGACCTGGTCCTTTAAGAAAAAGTATCGGTAATTGGTATTGGCGAGTACTTGATCAAAAGTATCGGTACTCGGTCTTTAAAAAGTGGTATCGATGCATCCCTAATTTGTAAGATATAACTCCTGAGTTTAGTGTCACTTTAATGACATGCAATTGTGTGGATTGTTACTGTAGCACCATAAGTGAGATGTAACTAAGGTCAAGTATTTGTATAATCCATCTATGATGGATTTAATTGAGTTGAGAATTTTCACTGGATTACAAGACAAAAGTCACTGGATCAGAAAAAAAATACTACTTAAATAGTGGAAATGAGCAAAAAAATGGAAAACTGCTTCAGTACAGTACTTAATTCAGCCAATGCAAACACAGCAGCTTGGAGTGCTTTTAGATAGATAGATAGATAGATAGATAGATAGATAGATAGATAGATAGATAGATAGATACTTACCAGTAAATATCCAAACCGAGAAACAAAAATGCTGGATCTGGTAACTTACCAGCTCTTAGATGTAGTGGTAGCATTATTTTTTATTCAGGATTTTCCAGCAAATAACACACTTGCTTTCCCCTCGTGGTTACACTCATTTCTGCATTGTATCTATGGCCAGAGTTATGGTTGGCACACAGGCTGGACTTTAAACATGCCTGCCTTTCAGCTTACTGGAAGTGACAAGGACACAGCTGTTCTGGCAAGATCCCCGGGTATTTTCTGTACTTCTTAGAAAATCTTCTTAGAGAAAGGAAAATGAATGCAGCCACCACACATACAGTAAGTACTTGTGAGCTGCAATATATTTCATTTTTGTCTTCAGATTTTAGTTATGCTTTCACTGTGATAAGCCATATAAAAAAAAACAAATCTATGGTTACTGTATTTAAATCAATAGGAAAATGAATACTGATTGATTGGTAAGGGTGATTGCGCTTTGCATATAGCTATTGCACTCTGAACTGCTTTGTTAAATAAGCTTGATAGTGTTATTAAAAGCTGAATATGATTACAAATGTAATGTATTTATTTCAAAGACTTAGTTAAACTACAGAAAATTTCCAGAGACGCACACTTTTGTAAAATGTGTGGGTTATGCTTGCAGTGTAACCTGGGGGTAAGGTAGTTCCCTCTCTGACGTGTGAACAAAGTGTCTCTAGGTCTGCCCAGTCACATTCCTATGTTAAAAACTGCATGCCTTGTACATTCTCAAGAACTGAAAATTGTTGTGAAATAAACACCTGAATGACATAAAGTGGGCACCAAACGAGGTTAAAAGCATAAGTCAGCCTTGACCAATTAGGTCAGCCCTGGGGTTTTTGCATCATATTACCTTCTGCAATCTCTGATCATTTGGTCTACCTAATAAGTTACTCCCACTCCTTGTCTATAAAACCAGCTGTAGGTGAAGATTTTGGCATTTTGGTCTCATAAGGTATTCAACTTGTATTCTGGACCAGACATATCACTTGCACAAATGAAGCTACACTTTGTCTTTGCCTTGGCCATTCTTATCAAGTATGCAGGTAAGTTGCTGCAGATTGCCATTGGATAGTCAATACTAAGTAATTCCTAGCACTGTATTTTTCTCATTCCTAGTTCTGTATTTTTGAATATTACAGATTGACCTCCTGTACCTGCACAGATCATTGAGTTGAAGCATATTCCTCACTCATACAGAATCATTTTACTATTTAATATAACCTTGTGTTTTTTCAGCTTTACTGTAGAGGGAGTGAACCGTGCAACAATGCATAGATTATGTTCTAATAAAGCACCACTCTAGAGCTCTAGAACTGGTACTCTCCTTATGTCCATGATTCAATTCATGGTTACAGCAGTGGGTCTCTTCTTATATGTAAATTGGGTGCCAGGGCTGAATGCAATAGGCACCACAGTAGCTAGGCCTGTGGTTTAGGCAGCAAAGTAGAGAAGCCGCTTTTTCCAGGTATTATTATCAAGCACATAATTTTTCTATCATCAGATTCAGAAAAAAATATAGTCTTCTAACATTAGCTTGTTTTCACATGAATTTATATTATTACACATTGTCACAATATATAAGACAGGTTAGGTTCAGTAATATGCGAACATATTCTGTCTGCAAGAGATGATCCTATCACATGGATGTTGCTTTGGGGACCTAAGGTTGTGTGCCCACAGAATTCAGTCTAATGGATATGTGCTGATCCAATGACCAATGAAACTTGCAATCACTAAACATTTGTCCTATCCATATCCTCTATACCTTGGAACTATAGCTGCAGTCAGCAGGGTTGATTTACTTGATGAGCAGATAATGTTCACATAGCAAAGTAACTTAGCTTATTAAGTAAAGAGAAGTGGCATTCACTTCAACCATCCAATTATGTGTAAGAAAAATTCTGTTTCTCCTCTACACATGATTGGGTGTTCAAAGTTTCCTTTATTTACAAAGCTAAATAAACATTCACTTCTATAGGTGAACATTCTCTACTCCTTAGTAAATTACCTCAAAAGATCTATATCTAGTATAAGGTGGGTTTAGCCCTCCAGCGGGAAAGCACTAGTCTGGATCTTTCCAGGTTTTTTTTAAGGTTTTCTCCTTATGCTGTTCATTTTTTGCCTCATAACTTTCAGTAAAAGACTAGCACAGAAAATTAGAAATTAAGAGGGTTATTCACAAAAGGGTGAAGAGTTTGGAGAAGAAAGGAGAAGTGAAGAATCTAGGACAACATAGCTGAACTGGAAAGTGAGCTGAATTGGGGAATGTTTCCAATTCAGCTATTTTGTCCTAGATTGTTCACTTCTCCTGCCTTCTCCAAACTCTTCACCCTTTTGTGAATAACCCCCTAAGAATTTTGGAGCTCTGTCATTTAACTCATGAGGAAAAGCTTAGATAATTGAAGAAACAGTGGGTTAAATTTTAATAAATTGTCAACATGCAAATGACCTGAATGGAAGATTGTACACAGATCGTATATGGGTTCTAAAAAATTGTGACTTAATGTAGCTTTGACATAAATATAGGATCATATACAAAATTGCAGATGTTTCTTTATTTAGAGATTTTTCAATCCTCATATATTCCGTATTTTCCGCTCCATAAGACGTATTGTTTCCCCCCATAAGGGGGGCAAAAATGTCTGTGCGTCTTATGGAGCGAATCCCTCTCGCCCAAAGCCCGTGACAGGCGTGTTTTTTTGTACATTTAGCCCTGCTCTGGACAAGCAGAGCTAAATGTATTAAACGAGCAGCGGTTCCCACTGTACAAGTTATCTAATCAGATCACTTGTATCAAATCAAGCGTCGGCTATCATGTGAGGACCCCCCCTGCAATGGTTTTCGGGGTCCCCCGCTCCTATGGGGGACCCGTGACCACGGTATAGGAGCTCACCATAGAGCGCATAGAGCAGACGAAAGAACGTCTGCTCTGTGTGATCACTGAGACCGTGGCGCTGTAATCACAGCGCCACCTGTCTCAGCTATCACTAACTGCAGCTATTACAGACTCCTATACTCCCTGCGTCCTATGGTCCGGTGGGCCTTATGCACCGATATATCGGCCGCCGAAACATATCGGCCGAAAATTGCACTTTTGGCATAATGGCATAATAATATAAGGCAAATGCTTTGTACCCGCCCTCTTTTGCAGTTCCCCATCAGGTCCATCAGCAGAGGGCGGGTACAATGCTAGTTTACTATTGGCTATTGCAAATTGAAATAGCCAATAGTAATGTCCCAATGCTTTTTAATTATGATTTTTTTTTTCTCTATTCTGACATTGATCGTGTCAGAATATAGTCTACGGCTGATTTCACCCGATGTACGGCTGAAATCAGCCGTACCAGCCTAAGGTGAATAGCCGAACAGTGTTCGGCTTCTGATCGGTCATTCACTCGGCTGCCCTCGGCAGCATAGTGAATAGACCCCATAGAGGCACTCAACTGAGATAAGGGGAGGCAAATCAAAGCATCAGCATTTTATTGTCAAGGAGTTCAGTCCATCCATTCTCATGAAGATAAATCTCTGCTGCAAGCCCAGTTAGTGCCTCTGTATCTACTTTGAATATATGTATATATTGTGATGTATAGTGATATACTGTATATAGATAGATAGATAGATAGATAGATAGATAGATAGATAGATAGATAGATAGATAGATGTTTATTAAATACATTTCACTTTGGAATACAGCCTTTAACACTTCTTTCTTTTTTTCCCCATTTCTAGGAGCCCAGTGCATAAGTAAGTATCTCAGATTTGATTCCGCTCATTTCAACTGTAAGTGCAGTATATGTTTTCATATTACAGGTTAACCACACCATAAGCCTAAATGCTTAATATTTAAAATGTTACATAGCAAAGCATTGACACAGATTTTTAGATGATGTAATCTGACTATACATTGTTGCTGTTTGTAGCCAGACTGTTAGGAATCAGCACCAGAATGTATTTATCAATTCAGTCCCTTAAGGGTTAAGGTACAGATAGTATTATTAACTGTAATAAAATATTGATATATATTTATAATATACTATACTATACATATGTGCAATGCATGTGCTTTAGGTGATGACTGTAAAAATATGGATTTTTCATCACTTTGTGCCCAGGACAGCAAAAGCGAGTAATTCCCAGTGGGGACACAACCAGCGATAAATACCTCTAAAACAACAAAAAAAAGTGTGGCTTTAGATACACTGGCACATATTTTTAAGACAGTATATCTGACATTCAGAAAATATTCTTTTGCATCTTGCAGGTCCACGTGTTTTAAATGACAGTGATTTATTCACCACTAGAGAATATTTGGTGAAAGTCACATTCACTGCTTTCTAACTGGACCCCTTTAGGTTTAAGCATTAAGGTTAGATAAAGGGTGAGCCTTATTTAACAGCACTAGGTTTGATTTTAAGGCTCAGTTCTAAGGGTTAGGTCTCGGCTTGATGTTTGCCGTTAGGGGGTCGGTTATACTTGAGCTTGAGCATTTTTAGGCAATTTTGAAGAACTATTTTGCAGCTGTTACTGCATGTTTTTCAGCCGTTTTCAGGCATGAGCGGTTTTTTTTAGCCAATGGAAAACTAATTACTTGGAGGAGGAAACAGTTATTAGGGCAAAACTGGGTGATACACGCAAATTACCTACATGCTTCAGGGCAGGTGTTTTTCAGGTGTTAATATTAAAGTCTATGGGGCCAAATCAGTTCTGTCTGAAATTAAGCTGATGTACCTTTTCAGGGCTTGTTCACACCAAATGTGGCGCATTCCAGAGCGGTAGCTGCTGGAACGCACTGCAAATCTTGCCCTTGCGTTCTGGGGCTAGAGGGGGCGTGGTGGTGCAATGAATTCAATGGCACCGCTTAAACGCCCCCCTGCCTGTAGTGCGATCGGACGCGTGACAAAACTTTGCCTGCATTCCATTTCCACTGCAAACCCAAAAAATGCTGCGTGCTCTATTTTTTGCGTTTGCAGTGGAATGGAACGCAGGCAAAGTTTTGCCACACGTCTGATCGCACAGCGGGCAGGGGGAACATGGAAGCGGTGCCATTGAATTCACCGCCATGCCCCCTCCCACCCCAGAACGCAGGGGGAAGTTTTGCGAGGGATTGTGGTGTGTTCCAGCAGCTACCGCTCTGGAACGCACCGCATTTGGTGTGAACAAGCCCTCAAGCTTCATGCTACAAGCAACACAACACTCAAGTGTGAAAATAATGTTATTATTCATGCTAAGCATTGCCGCGTTTCACACACATAAACGCTCAGGTGTGAATGGGGGCTGAGGGTTAACAAATCATATTAGGGGATAAGTTGTGTGTTAGGTCCACAGTGAGGGACGGGTTACATGTGAGACTGGTAAGTGTTAAGTGTACGTACATCCAAAATGTAACAAAAACCTGTAAAATCTCTTTCTCTTTCGAGGCATCACTTAACAATAACTCTATGAGAACAATGAACACGCACAGCTGCACCAATTCTCTGCTGCAAGTGTTCTCATTGCTTGAGACATTGTACATAAAGTCACATTGCGATCACATTTCTTGAACAAAACCTTTTTTTGTTAAATGTTTGCGAATGTTTAAGGCCAGTTTTGCAAATTCCTGTCTTTGTCCCCAGTTCTGGTGCTTTGCAGGTGTTTTTGAGCCCGGTGACATGGTCTGATAATGATAATTGACTACGGAGCATCTTCCTTTTCTTCTCTTCACAGCAACGTACAATGATACAACGTACAATGTTACACTAGGTCCCTGTGACGCATGTTCAGGGACCTGTGATTCTTACAATGGATGCTCGTGTAGCGATGGCTATAATAACTGTCTACCAAGTGTAGCTGCACCATGCAATATTGTTGATCCCGAGCCCTGCTGTCCAAGTGGCTTATACTACAATGCTAGTGATTCCTGTTGCACAGGTAAGAATAATCAAAGTCTGTTCAAAGTGTACTTTCTGAGTCTGACCATATAGAATAGAAATGTACTGCGCCATCTTAAACGGATGTGTTTATGCTGTCTTCTGCAGAAACTCCTATCTGTACGTCAGGATGTGCTCCAGATGAAAACTGCACTGTAGGAAAATGTGTGTGTAATGGCAGCATGTACCAAAATTTGAGTAAGACTTTGTTCGTTTTCTTTACTTTGCAATGTCAGTCTAGACTCTAGCCATTTACCTTTAGAGAAAGTATAGTATGTTTTCAGTTGGGTGTATATTTTTATTGTATACTTCAAAGTTACTTTACTATACTAGTTACTATACTTTACTATACTAGTTACTATACTATACTTTACTATACTAGTTACTATACTATACTTTACTATACTAGTTACTATACTATACTAGTTACTATACTATACTAGTTACTATACTATACTTTACTATACTAGTTACTATACTAGTTACTATACTGTACTTTACTATACTAGTTACTATACTATACTAGTTACTATACTATACATTACTATACTAGTTACTATACTTTAAAGTTACTTTACTATAGTAGTTACTATACTTGAATATACAATGGATGCTGCTCTTTGATCTTTAAACATTTTCGTTTCTGCAGCATCACCTTGTTCCCTGACCATTGGCCCTGATATCCTAGTTTAGGGGCTTCACTTTCCTTGCTGGGTCCTATGGAGCCACCCTTGGGCAAAAATGTAAAGCAGGATCACAAAGTGTTACTTTAATAAAAAACTGCAGAAATAAGAATATTAAAAATGACTTTTCAAATTTCATGAAATTTTAGTGATTGGTTAGTGACTAATTAGTGACTAATTGGTTAGTGACTAATTAGTGACTAATGATTTAGTGACTAATCTCTCGCAGTCCCTGTGATCAGAGGTGGGAAATGCAGCACAAGGACCCAGTCAGTTGTGCTGCAGAGAAAGATAATCTCATCAGTGTGCAGCTTTTCATTTCACTAATCACAGTCTGGGGGAGGGGCAGTGTTAGTGAACTGCAGCAGAGAAAAACCAGGTCTCCTGCCTAGCAGACAGGGCAGTGCTGTGGGGCTGTGCTGTGAAAATCACAGAACTGGATGGACAGAAATACAAACCCTAAGGCAAGCAAAACTTCTTTCATCTGTATGTTTAGATGTTTGAGACAAATGATCATGCAAGCAGAATAAATGTCATGCTTGGAGAAAGAAATAGTGTTGTAACATATCAGTGATGAATTTTGCATCTGAGATTAAACTGCATACTAGAATGTAGATGCAATCCCTGTTATAATATCAAACGTCTGAAACCTTCCTGGAATAGTAGGGGCCCTCTATTTAGGACACAAGTGAGATAACCCATCTTGAATGAAGTCGATCTACAAAGAAATTTTTTTTTTGTATCAAATAGATTGGATAAGGGTTAGAATGTGTGTTCTGGTGTTATTATTACAATGTGTGCTCCTGATGGTTACATTTCCCCCTTTTAGTCCTGTGCTGCTGACCTCACAGCAAAGCAAAAGTAAATTTTCCCAACAAAGACAATAAAAAATGTGATGGGTGATAAAAATGTGTCTTTTTATTGCTTTTTTTGTCAGTGATAAAGAGATTTTCTTTTACTTCCTGTTTTGGCAACCACACAGGAAGTGAAAAGAAAAAAAATTTCTACAATGGGGATGCGTACAGCAATAAAAAAAAAAAAAATCAGATATAGGTTTTGTGGCTCATAACTCACCAATCTTTGTATTATTATTTTTTTTGTAAGGTGACTGTGATCATAGCAAAGTGTTTCAGGAGCCTTCCCTGTTCAATGTGCTTTGGTTGAAGTTTGATATGTTACATTTTTAAAGATCAACTCCACCTAAAAACTGATACTGCGGTTTTGTGTGCTTGTGGGAAATTGAAATCACATGCTGGCTTCTTTAATCTCACGGAAAATCCTGTGGAGAAAAATCCCCAGTAGAACTTTTTATTTCACCCAACTGCCATGGCTAAATCCTACCATGGATTCTATGTAATGCAGAATATACAAGTACCTGAGGAACTGACATGCAAGCAAGTGACACCTTCTTTATGACCTTGTGATACGTAGGATTAGGCCCCATTCACACCTAGGCGTATTGTAATATGCGCGTCTGTCCGTCGCGCGATTCCAAAGGCTACTTGGCTGTATCCCAATGGAAAACGCCCTACAAAACGGCCCAAAGTAGTCCCGGGACCTTTTCAGGCGTGGGCCGTTTTGTAGGGCGTTAGGGACGGGCGGAAATACGCCTAGGTGGGAACGAGGGCATTGACTACAATGCTATTTATTTTTTTTGACCGTTTTGTAGCGTGTTCGTCGAGCGTAGGACGCGCTACAAAACGGTCAGGTGTGAACGCAGCCTAAAGGGGTCAGAACCACACTACAGCAATAGGATTTTAACTGCTTTCTAATGTAAGGAGGTATCTTACTGCCTGTAAAGCTTTGCATTTCTAATGGCCATGGTAGACCTAACAGTAGTTAGTCACATTTATCTGACCAACTCCAGCTGAATGTGACTAACTACTACTACAAGTCCTTTACAAAACCTATATGTTATTTCAGAATGACATTTTATCATGCTTTTCATGTAAAAAGCAAAAATGTATTTTATAGGAATGGAATCACTGTAATACAGTGGGGCTGCAAATACAGCAATACATATGGGGATCTTGTCCTTTTCTTTAATAGCTAAGGGCTGCAGCAAGGGTTATCATACCCTCTGCTGCCAGTACAGGTCTTTCACACAAAGCAGCGCCCCAGCTCTTCAACGGTCTGACATGCCCCCCAAATATTGCTCCATGCAACAGAGCTACTCAAGGAGAAAGAGTGTTGTTGGTTGGAACAGTGTTTGCTTTGAGTGTGGGGCCACTGGAGCGTCGTGCCACTGCTTTGTGAACTGCAGTCTGACTCCCCTAGGTACTGGCAGCAGAGGGTGTTTTAAAACTTGCTGCACTACTTTCATCGTTAAAAATAGTAAAAGAGCCCCATATGTATTAATACAGCCTGACTGCATTCCATCAATAAACAACAAGGGTTCAATTAGGCTTTAAAACATTTTTGTTTGTCCTTTTGTTAGTTTACCCGGCCAAATGGTTGAAAGTGTCTTTAAACAGTAGTGGGTTGTAAGAAGAGTGACCAGTGCACATCTACAAGAAAACGATTTTGTATACATTGCACAATGATTGATTTATCTTTTGCAGCAATTGGTAATTTTCACCCTACCATCGTCTGTGAAAACAGCATAATTACAGTCGGTGTCAATCAATGTCAGTTAGACCTACTTGGTTATGACCCTTCCTCAATTCACCTGAGGGAGACAGGAGAAAACTGCAGTTACTTTTTTTCAAATATCAGCAATGGCAGTAGAAGGATTTTTGTCCAGACCGAAGCAGCATCAAATTGGTGTGGAAACACAGTGGAGGTAACACATTATTGATTGATTTATTTGTTTATTTTAGCAGCTCCTATGTTGTCAGATTGTGTGTTTTTTTTTACTACGGGAAACACATTTTTTGGAAAATGTGACCCTTAGCAATGTGTTTCAGTTTTTCTGAGATAGCACAAAGCCCCTGTTCAGCCAAAACATTTTATTTCATCTTGGATATAGCAGGAGAGAGTAAAGGGCCTCTGTCAGCTTTTTTTTTGCTGCCTGTGTCCCTATTAGGATGATTTTTTCTCACTTCCTGTCAAGAACGAAAGTAATGTAAAGTCTCTGCAGCTCAGATCCAAACTGTAGAAAAGGTTGGAACTTTGAAAAATGTTTTTTGTGACTTTTTTACCTTCCTGTCGTGGTGACAACCACAGTTTCCTATAGGCATCACAGTGCTAGAAAGTGAGAGAAGATCTCCCCAATGGGGTCACGGCTAAAAAAAACTCTTCCTCATTCTATTAAAAAGAATTAGGGCTAGTGGTGGTTTTGAGGATTAACTGTACTTTTAGTGTAATTATCCTTAAAATACAATTTTCCCCAAGCAAGTTTTTCCCCTACCATGCCATGATCCATGGAGATCTTCTCTGCGGGGACATTGGGTGTTACACAGTCACTTCACAAAAATCTCCAATCCGGACCATGTGTGCACATTCATTCCTATGAGCAGCCCATCAATTGTTGGGGTCAAAAATTGACAGGCTTCATTTCCACTTGTGAACTTAGTAAAGATACCAGCTTTCTTTATCAAAGCATTTTTTTACTGCTAATTACTTGACATGGCAGAGCAGATTGAGATTTAAATAGTAAAATGTCTAACTTGTTTCCATTTGCTTAACAACACAATGACAGTATACCCTTCTATCCACAGAGCGATGAATCCAATATCTATATTTCCAACACCATTTACATTGATATCAAGAAAACAGACATCATCACAAAAAATCCTATAAAATTTAACTATACATGTGGATACACACGGAATATGCAAACAAGTCTGCAACTGCCTGGAAACATAACCACTCAGTAAGAAAAAGATCACATATAGAGTTGCTTGTGCAAATATACTGTCATATTTGTTCTGTCTCCTTCACTAACCTCTCATTTCCCTTAATTAAAGGAGAACTATGAGGTGAGTGCTTTTCACTCACCTCATAGTTCTAGCCGACCTGTGACAATGAGACTGTCACAGGTCGGCTCAGTAGATCGGGAGGTGAGCGAACACATACCGGTGTTCGCTTACTTCTCGATCATGTCACGGCTCTTTGCCGGGATAGGGGAGGGGCTGGATTGGTGGAACGGACGGGGCCGGGTACAGCTGGCTCTACCTCTAGATAGGCAGAGCCAGCTGTCACTCACGCAGCTGGGCGGATCTCGAGATCAATGTCGGGATCCGCTCCGGCTGCGGCGTCTCAGTATACCGCGAGCTGTAGCTCGCGGTATACTGAGCTTAGGGTGACGGGAGGACAGTAGTTTGTGTCCTCCGGTTACCCTAAGGAGAACTATAGGGACAAGCCCTGACCCCATAGTTCTCCTTTAAGTTATGCTTGTTATAGCATTTAAACATATACAGTATTTTATTTAAATACAGCTTAGAATTTTGTAGATCCAAGAGCATGATACTTTGTTCAAAATTATATTAGAGTGTACCTAGCCTTAGATTTTGTTATTATGTTTAGGTTAATGGAGTAATCAGCACATGTAACACTTCTAAGGTGTAATACCAATATCAGTCAGGTGTAATACCAATTTCAGTTATAGCTGGCTAGTCCAGCTACATTCTCTAAAGGCAAGCAGGCCTACTGGTACTTGGTTGCCCCAGGACTAAATACACAATGCACAATGCTATAGACACTGGTTCCAAGAGATGGAGCAAAGATATACAAAGGAGTACCCCTGGTCCTTGGAATAGTAAGGTGTGGACTTTTAGGTGTTAGGTGTAGATTTGTAAGCAGGGGAGAAGCCAATAATGAAATCCAGTAACAGGCAGAGGTCAGGGCAGGTGGCAGACAGTAAGCATAATCGAGAAGCAGGCATAGGTCAGGGCAGACAGCAGACATCACAGAGATCACAGTTCTCACCCTGACAATGCTTTAATTTGCTTTTCTCTCCAGAATGCCGACACATCTCTGTTCATTTATCCTCCAGGGTCAGCACTTACTTGCTGGGCTGAAATGCTGGCCCTGGAGTAATAATATCAGTTGTTTGAAAAATTACAGTGTTTTGTCATGATCAGCAGAAGACTGTTGGTGTTGGGGGGTTGGGGACAATTCTAGTGCATGATCAAGGGAAAACCTAAACATGTTCATAAATAGATAGTCAAAGGGTATTTGAAAGAGATGCTAAGGTTCAGACACTGTAGGGAGAGTCAGCCTAGAACAGGGGTCAGACCCATATAAACATTCAAAAACTAGATAGCTTTGACATACAAACAGTGACCAAGGGAGCAGGGAACTGCAGGTGTCACCAGATTGTGGGATCGACTCTTCACAGGTATAAAAGTCCCTGAGAACACCCAAGTCTATTAAACCTGGAGTCTATTAAACCTCTTTTATCAACAACATTACACTAGCAACATAAATCTGGTGCAAATATACTCCGTGCAAGTTCAAACACTCGCAATTGCTATGATAAATTCCCCCTCATGTTTTTTGTACCTTTTTTGCACGTGTTTTCATCTACACTTGTTAAACCTCATTTATCAACAATATTACACTAGCTTGATAAATCTGGTGCAAATATTTTCCGTGCAAGTTCAAACACTCGCAATTGCTATGATAAATCCCCCATACCCCCCCACCCCCTTGGACTTAAAGCCTTCATTTTTTCAGTTTTGGAGTGAATAGGAAACAGTTGTCAGCTGTGTCAATTTTTTACTGCTGTCTGTTTCTATCTCTTTAAGTGACACATTTTCCATGTTATTTGCACCTTATTTATCAATGCAGTCTAAGCCTTGATAATAAATGTAATTTTCGTTAGACATATAGGGGGGAATGTATCATATTAATTGCGAGTGTTTGAACTTGCACGGAATATATTTGCACCAGATTTATGTAGCTAGTGTAATGTTGTTGATAAATGAGGTTTAATAAACTCCAGGAAAAATTACTCGTAAAAAGCTTAACTGTCGCTTCTTGAAGAAGTGGTCATGGGGACTTCTTAGGTTGCGATTGTTTTCTTAGGTGATGCTCCAGTTTCATACAGCCCCAGAACAAGTGCAGATGAAAACACGTGCAAAAAGTAGTGCAAGCTCTGGTGAAAACAGAGGAACATGTTAAAAGACAGATTTGCACATAAAAAAATTTATCTAAAGGTGCCCATACACCTTACAATTATCTGCAGATTTTCTGTGGTCAGATGGAAAAATGCAACAGATTGGCCCACGTGGAAATTACTCCATCCACACAGTTAAGTCTAGATGGAGGAATCTGTTGCACCTTTTCCATCTGACCACAGAAAATGTGCAGATAATTGTAAGGTGTATGGCCAGCTCAGGAGGATAAAACTGTTGTAATTGCTTTGATAAATTCCCCCCAATGAGTAGAGTAGCAAATGTCTGATGAGGTCATCCCTGTGCCCTCTCCTCCTGTCAGCAAGCTCCCAGTGCTAGCGTGGCCTCCTCCTGTCCCAGTGAGACTCCTGTACATGAAATTACAGGAAGACATTACAAAGACAGATCATGGTCCTTTTAAAAAATCACATTGTTGCATTGGTAACAAATACGTATCATAACTAGATTAAACAGAAGCATTTTATAGCTGTCTAAAATTCAGCTTTACCTACCTTTTTATTCCTACCGTATAGATTTAATGATAATGGGGCCTCTCCTGCAATTTCCTTAGTATGTTATTATTCACTGAAACCTGGTTGAGTGCTAAATTATCCAGCAAATATGTTTTTGTAATGTTTTCAATTTTCATATTTTTAGTGTTCATCCTTTGATTGGTCTTTTCTTTCCAAACAATGTACAGATCCTTTTATTGCATTTGAAAGCTTCTCTTTATGCAATATAAGCTTTTTTAGAGTTGCATAATCTGACATTTTAGGCACAGATAGGTGTTTAAAAGACTTTGCTCTGTTATCAGGAAATGAATTGTAATTTAAAATTGTCATTGATTTACTTTAACATGTGTTTTGTTTTCACAGAACGGTAGACCTGACGGGAATCAATGGGACAGGTTTATATCCTGTTACCATGTCTGCTTATAAAGATTTAGCATGTACAATTCCATTTACAAATGATGATACAGTGGTTGTGGGATCAGACATCTTTGTGGGAATATTTGTGGCAGGAGCTGATTCAGATATATTCGTTCTCCGGATAGAGAAATGTACTGCAAGTCCTACAGAAGATCGTAATGGACCAAATAATTTTGTTCTTATAGAAAATGGGTAAGTATGCTTTTCTTATGCAACCAAGTAGATGAACGCAATTGTAAAGCCCTAGAATGTCATATAGCACAGAGTGCTAAATGCAAAAGAAACCGATGTAATTAAAGAACCTTGCGAACATCTTCCTGATTTTGTTAGAATCTGTAAAAGCGACCCTAGTTTATTGGACTACCACTTAAAAACTTATGGTGTTATCTCCTCCACTCCTATCCAAGAAGCAAAATTTTACAGGAAATGTTGGTGGAATCTTAATGTTACTTTTTATTCATTGCAACTTTAGAAAGATAGCCATCCATAAAAACAATAATTTTTGCCTTTCACTGATGAACTGATTCACAGTTCATCAGTCATGAAGTGTTAGTGTGGCGTCATTCAATCTGGACCTGTGTGTCAGCGCACTGCAAAGCACAGTAACATGCCTATGCACTGTGTTGCCAATGAAAGGGTCATGTCCAGTTTTAGGTGCGCTGAGGCACATTGGCAGCCCATTCCAGATATGTGGGCTTCCTTAATGCAACATGCATGTGGCATCATACAGCAGCACACTCCAAAGGTGAGAAGGGGGTCTTAGTAAAGGATAACTGACCACCAACAGCATATGCAGGGCTATACAAAGTGTGGACATGCTGGGGTTTTAACCCTTTCATGACTAAGGCCTTTTTTTTTCATTTTTTGCACCCATGTTATATTCCACATTTTAGGCCTGACAATTACTTAAAACCCCCACACATTATATATTTTCTGAAAGCCAAGACCCTATAGAATAAAACATTATGTTGCACGTTATTAGCGCATGTTATGACCCCCCACAGGTCATCAATTTAGAGATACCCAAAAATACTGACCATAGAATTATTGCTCTCATGTGTAGCATGTGTAGCGTGTTCGTCGTTTTCATAAGTGGGCGCACCCGACGCGTGTTTATGTGGTGACGCACGGGGGCAGGGTCTTTAAAAAAATTTACATTATTTTTAGATTTATTTAATTTAAAATTAATTTTAATTTTAAAAACTGTTATTTTATTTATTTTTTTATAAATTTTCAAAAGACCCCCAGTGTCACCTTTACACTCAAAATAAGCTATGGAAGTGCAGATCGCATTTCAATAGCTTATACCTGGGATTCTGGAGCCCAGCTCTGACAGCTATGGGACCGGAAGTGACGCAATCTGCATTGCTCCAGCTCCCATAGAATGGGGAGGGGATAGACGGACAGAGGTTCGTCTATCTCCTCCCCAGCTCTCCAATGACACGAGAAAATACGGTCCCGGGCCCGTAGGAGGGGCATCGGAGCCCGGGAAGCACGGTGGGGGCGTGTCGGGCGGGGGAGACCCCTTCACCGGGCCATAGAAGCAATCTGGCGACAGCTGAGTTGCCAGAATCGCTTCTATTGTAAAGCCGACAGTTGGCTTTATAAGTTTAAACAGAGTCCAAGCAGCAAAAGCCGACGGGAGTCTGTTTAAACAGCCCAGATGCTAGCGACGTACACTGTAGGGGTTACCCATGGCACAAAGGGGTTAACCATGGCATAAGGCATGTATTTATGGCACTAAGACACTAAAGCTGGGTATACACTGGTAGATTTTCATTTGGACTATCATACATACAAATCTCATCAGAACATTTGATAAAGCCATCAGAAACTTGATCAATGTCATTTAAAATTTTGGTTGATCTTAACATTCAGTTTTGGAATAATAGGAGGTTCCCAAATGGAAACCACATTCACTGTCAGAATTTAGTTAATTTGAGAAAAATGTTCCATCTTTCTACTTCGATTGTTTCTTCATGGTTGAAATCGATTGTTGATTTGATCCTGTGTATATCTAGGAATATATACCAAGCCCATAATAGCTTACTATCTAAAAAGAGAAAAGATAAATACAATAGGCATGGAAGAGCTGTTGTAGGTATAGATGCCTGGAGATATAAGGGGTTAGTATATACTGTTGCAAGGGGCAATATTTGAACTTTTCGCTTAGTTAATGCCAAATAATTAATAACATTAAAAAAAACTGTAGGAAGTGTGGGAATAGTTTTATGCCCCTTTAGACACCCTTGGGTTGATTTAGTAGCGAAATATAGACTGTTCACATAGCAAATTGAGTGTTTATATTGGAAGGTTCACTTAAAAGCAAGAACTTTCAGGGTTATTCACAAAAGGGTGACGAGTTTGGAGAAGACAGGAGAAGTGAACAATCTAGGACAACATAGCTGAACTGGAAAGTGAGCTGAATTGGAGAATTTTCCCAAAGGAGCTATGTTGTCCTAGATTGTTCACTTCTCCTGCCTTCTCCAAACTCTTCACCCTTTTGTGAATAACCCTGTTTGTCTCTCAATGAGATGAAGGCACATGGAAGGAGGAGTTTCACAGCTCTGTCTCATTCACTTGTGTGTAAAAATTCTAGCTTGAGTTACTAGCTCTGTAATAACAGATATTTCGCAACAGACAGGAAAGAGATAAAGGGAAACATGGAAAAGCTAAAGTGTGTGCTGGCTTTATAGAAGAATATATAATACATATAAAAAATATAACAAAACATATTTTAAAAATGGTATTTATTACCTGTTCACATTATAAATAATGTAGAAATAAAATATGTACGAAAGCATTTTGTTAGGAACACTATGGCATCCAATATTGTGGCGATAAAGAGATGCACATGGTAAACAACCATGCTTATATAGGCTGTGGCATTCATGTGCTGGTTAATTGGTATTAATGAGCCCTAAGTAGGCAAAGAAAATAATCCCCATATCATAGTGCCAAATTCTAGTCCTACCATCTGTGTACCTCAGCTGACGATGACTTCTAACTGGAGTTGTTCATCTCTGTGGTTTTATACATTGTGTGCTGTCACATGATTGGCTAATCCGATAAATGGGTGAATAAGCAGGTGTTACAAGTGTGACTAATAAGTGCAGTACATATTTTCTTTAGGGCATATGCACAGTGTGAAGTTGTAGCAGCACAAGATATTGCATTGGTATGATGTGGCACCAGTTATTTAAAATGGCACCCCAACAAACCTTGCTCACGGACGTGTGTTGCAGTGTAGAGCAACTCACACCAGCACATTAACGTGCTTGCGGTGTGCTGGCAGAAATGGCGCATTCACCATTTTTGGTGCATTGGCAGGCCAATTATTTTCATAGGGTTGTCTTAATGCACTGTTTTTAATGCATGGCATAATACGCAATAAGCGCATGTGCAATAACGCACCACAATGGTGTGAATTGGCCATTAGAGTAAGCACTGCGCCAACTGTTGGCGCTATATAAATCCTGTATAATAATAATAATAATAATAGAGTAAAATGTGGTAAAAGCTGGGAAGTTAAGTGGTTCTCTAAGATCACTGCCTCTTTTTTAATGTCGTCAAAAATGATAACTTAATTATGACAAGTTGCAATATTTTACTTCCTACAAAAATCAAGTAACAATAAAACCTGTCAGTTTGGTCAGTAGTTTTATATTATTTCCTTTTCTTATTTACAGCTGTGCCAAGGACACTGTTTCTGCAGATATATATGTCAAAGAAAATGGAAATTCAACAGAAGCACTTTTTAGAATAAGCTCATTTAAGTTTCAGAATTATGACAGTGTATACATTACCTGTGATGTCCGTTTGTGTGAGAAAAGCAATGGAACATGTTCTAAAGTAAGTAGTAATTACAACATTTTCCCTGAAATAAGACAGATTATTCGACAGCAATGAAGCAATGCTCAAAGTGCCTACATGACAGTCTAAAAATATATTCTACTGGCTAGGAGCAATATGAATACACTCGCAGCTTATGATCATTGGGAGAAATCTAGTCACTGATTCCTTCCTAATAAGTCAGCGGTAGAGGTGTCTGCAGCCTGCCTCTCTACCTGGCAAATGTGTGCAAATATAGGAATTAAGGGACTAATATGAAATGAGGAAAGATGGTCCTGTTATTGCAGGTGAGGGAAAGGGACCTGTCTGGAAGTAACAAGCAGAGGTCTGCTCCTATTAGCTTAAAGGGCTTATATAGTAAGTGAACACAACACTGGGAGGAATTCATCAAAACTGGAGCAGACAGAATCTGGAACAGTTGCCCATGGTATCCAATAAGCTTCTATCTTCAGTTGGTTCAGTTAAACTTTGAAATAAAACAGAGAAGTTGATTGGTTGCCATGGACAACTGTTCCAGATTCTGTCTGTTCCAGTTTTTATTAATATGAACAATGGCTTAGGTTGTCGTTACTTGTGCAGCACTTTGACAGAATTAGAATGCCTGGCTACTTAAGACATAACATAAAGCAGGGGTGGGCAACCTTGGCACGTCAGCTGTGGTAAAAATACAAGTCGCATGAGGCACTGCAAGACTCTGACTGCCACAGGCAAGACCCCTGAAGACAGATGCATGATGTGATTTGTAGTTTCGTCACACCCGGAGGGCTGAAGTTGCGTACCCTGACATAAAGTATGCATTGCTACCAGTATCTATTGTCAATGCTCATTGTGATTTATTGTTTACAATTACAATATCGGATATGTCAACCAGTCTAACAATTTATGATTATTTTGTCTTTTCTTTACAGTGCGCAGCCAGTGGTAAATCCTCCAACATAGATACTAATGAAATCCAAATAGGCCTAAATATCGAAGGTAAGTCTTAATAATTGTCATACATGTAGACATTTTTTAAATTTAAGATGTTACCCAGAGACGTATGTTTGCTTAAAAGTGCATACTATTCAGTTCTATCTATTGGAGTCGTTTTCACTTTCGGTGATATGAGGCAAAAAAAATCACTCCATCTTTTTTATTTACTATCCCTATTTTTTATATTTTCTGCACATATGTTTGTGTCTGAAACAAGTGAGCAACAGTGAAAATAACATCTTTAGCGTCCATTTTTTACCAATTAAAGGGCACTATATATTATTTGTCAAGATTCAATGAAAGCTGAACTCCAGGAACGATGTTTTATGGATACTTACATTGGTCCAGGGTGGCTCACTGTGGTACAGACAATGATAGCTGGTCTCTTCCCGCTGTGGCTTCCCCTGTGCATACTGAATCCAGACAGTACCACCAACATTTGAAGAATGCATTTTTTTTCTCAATGAATACAAGGTGTTCTCTGACAGGACAAGGTGAAGGGCAGATGGTGATGTCACAATCTCCACTTCGTCCAGTTAGAGAATACTCTGTATACCAGAACTCTAGTTACATCTCTTCAACCAGCAGTTAGAATCAGACCTGCCCTAAACGTTTGAATCAGATCGGGGATGGGAAAAGATGATTTCAGTTCTTAGGCTCCTTGCACACCTTTGTGTGTTGGATGCAGTACTGTTTCCGTGAGTTTTAGATTTGTTCTATTTGTTTTACCAATGGAAGGGGAATTTTTCCAGAAACCACAACAGAGAAGCAGCAAGGAGGGATTTTATAGCATACCTTTCTTGCGCGGCAGCAAAAAGCATAGGGGTGCATGCATCCTTCATAGGAACGCATTGCTAGGCAAGGCCCAGAGACTTTTCTGCTGTTCATCCGTATTGAATACTAGCTGTTTTAGTATCTGGCTTTCTTCCCCCTCACCTTGCTTTATGTGCGGTTCATCTCCACTTACTGTCTCAGTTCTCAGAGGCGTAGACATATCATAAGGAAGGAAGTATCATATCATTCCTAAGGAAGTCATTTTTGCTCTGGTGATGTAAACCTGTGTTCTGGTCAAACACAACCCAATGAAGAGTGGTAGCCAAACAATATATGGACGACTTGTCTGTACTGTGCTGTTGGCTACTTTCAAGATTAGAAGATAAAACTCTAAACAATAGGGTACATTTTTTGATAATACATTCATAATTCTGTTGACCTTAAAGCTGACATTTTATTTCCTTACATTTTGCCTTCACTGGTTCCTTCTTTCCCCTGTCATTAGCATGGGAGAATGTAAATATCAAAATTCCTTGATGGGTGGATGTCAGTCTGGGGGAATGGGTGGTCCTAGGCATGCTGCATTTGCATATGACCATCGTAGCTAAAGCCCACATGTGATGCTGCAGCTCCATGATTAAACAAACTGAGATACAATGAATTAAAGGGCAGGCCAAAGTAAGTAAGTGATCAAAGTAGGTCATTTCAATACAAGAGAAGAACCTACACAATTGGGCAAGACTCAAGGTAACGCTGGAGTTCAGCTTTAAAATGCATGTAAAGCCAAACCTTTTTTTAAGGTTTAGATCAGGTAGGGAAGGGTTAAAGCCCTGACAGGTTATTTTTTTTGTTACCTGTTTTCCCCACTGGGTAGATTTTCCTTCATTAACTGTCCTGAAGTTGCAACAGGAAATGAGAGGAAATCTCTCCAAAGTGAATGAAGTCACTGGAACGGGTGTCCCCATGGGGGATTTTCCCTTCACCTCATGTGCTGGTGACAGCTCAAAACTTTTTGGATTTTTCCGCACTTTCTATCTCTGTGGCAGTGGTCACCAGGACAAAAAGAGGGGTGAATCTCCCCATGAGGACATACACACACCAATAAAAAAAAAACCTGACAAGGCGTCTAACCCTTCCCTATCCCATCGAACATTAAAAAACATTTTTTGCCTTTACATACTCTTTAATTTACTACTCTGACTACTCCTAGTTTAGTATGTCAGTGATTGTTTTTGACCTTGTAAAATATTAATAATTTATCTAGCATTCCATTAATTATTGTTTTGTATCTGCAGCTAAATATGACTTCGCCGACAACGCTGGCATAAATACAGGTAAGATTTATAGATAATGAAGATGTTTATCTTGAAATATACCATAAAGCAGGGCTCAAAATTTCCCCTCGCAATTTGTGAGTGAAAATTGCGAGGGGGCGAGTGGAAATTAAGCCATTGAGTCAGACACTCAGTCATGGACCGAGTGCCTGATGCTTCTGCCCACAGCCGTGCATCTTCCCATATTAAAGATGGCTGCATGACAGCAGCCATCTTTACTAAGGTCCGTTCTTGTATCTTTACTAAGGTCCGTTCTTGTATCCTAGCTCTTGTATACCCCCTATGTGACACACTCACCTACTGCTGTCACGGTGGCGCTGTAAAAGTGAAACTACAGCTCCCATAATCCTCGGTGCACAGGCAGGAAGTTATATAACTTAGTTAGGTTTTATTGCTGCGGTTCAGTGTCTGTCTGTGTGTGTGTGGGTGGGTGGGCACTGCCTCTTTAGGGGACCCTGGTCTGTCATGTGCTGGAGCAGTGCTGAGAACAGGAAGCAGTGATAGAGCTGGTGAGAGATGCTGCTCGTCCACATTATCCACACTCTGTACCGATCTGGGCACTCGAGGGCCTCTGTTAGGGGAGGCAGAAAGGGGCTAGCTATATTAGGATGAAGGTGGAATGATAGACCACTAAATTCATGGGCGTCACAATACAGGGGAAGCCCTGGGGTGAACTGGCAGACCACAGGAGCGGCTCCAGCAGCTTACTGTGCCACAGGTCCCCTTCATGCAGCCTGAGCTGCAATAACTATGCATGGGACCAGAGTTAGTCCCAAGTGTCAGGCCCCTGCCAGCAGGTAATTGAAGGGGACATAGAGATGGGCTGGGGTGCCATGTGTGTGTTGTGGGTGAATGTGCATGCGTAATGTCCTGTGCGTTGTGCTGTGGCTGCATGTGTAATGTCCTGTGTTCTTTGTGCTGTGGCTGTATGCGTAATGTCCTGTGCGTTGTGCTGTGGCTGCATGTGCAATGTCCTGTGTTCTTTGTGCTGTGGCTGTATGCGTAATGTCCTGTGCATTGTGCTGTGGCTGCATGTGTAATGTCCTGGGTTCTTTGTGCTGTGGCTGTATGCGTAATGTCCTGTGCGTTGTTTTGTGGCTGTATGTGTAATGTACTGTGCCCCGTGCGTTGTGCCCTGTTTGTGTTTGTTTGCATTATGCAGGGCAACTAGTGGCGAGTAACTTTTCAGGCCTGGCTAGTGGCTCATGACCTGAAATTTTGAGCCCTGCCATAAAGCATCATAGAAGACTTAGCTGTCACTATGGAAGTCTGAAATCTCTATGCAGCTATTCTGCAGCAAGAAAACAAAACATTAGTAAATATGGTGCTGTTGCTCAGTTTAGCCAATCTGTAGTCATCTGTATTCACTTCTCCTGTCTTCCCCAAACTCTTCACCCTTTTGTGAATAGCCCAGTATAGACAGTGTTCAAGGCTTCTGTCAAGTTTTTATTGCTCAATTACAAGAAATAGCCAGCACACCACCCATGTACCTCACAAATTTGTTTAGGTCAAAATGCAAACATCATATAAAAAAGATAAGAAGGCACATGGCATTCACTGACTGTTCAGGGCCACGAAGGACCCTTTTTTTTCCAAGGTGATAGCAAGGTCTGGAAGAGGACTTGAGGGGAAACTTTCCAGTGGGGACATTTGTTCTACGTTTTAAGACATGAAATCATTTTCTACATTTTTACCATCCTAAAACATTTTGTTTTTGTTCCTTTTCTCCCTCTAGTTGCATCTTGGGCTCTGTTGCTTGGAATTCAAGCAGCATTTCTGTTTATTAAGTTCTTTTGAAATCATCTGAGGATCTGAAATCACCTCTATGTGGTCAGCAATAACATATATACTTCATTAAATCTAATAGCAAATCAACTTAATTATTTATTTTCTGTACTGGACTGAGATATCTAATTTGTGTACTGTATTTATGGTCTTTGTATGGTATGTCTAGCTTTTATGGGGTGTCTGACCATTCTTCTGACTGGGCAGCTAAATATATTGTCTTGTATATAAACCAAATAATAAAACACTACAATCTGCATTAGCATGTGTATGGTGTACAAACATCCAATAAATCTATGAAGGTGTTATACAAAGCAGTTCAACAGTATGGACACTGGAGACCAAAATAATTAGAGTCTGTTGCTGCAACACTTGAATTGCCTGTAAGCTGGGAGAGTTTTCACAAATTCAGTTCCTAAAATTCTACCCCCAACATGTGTTGTTATGATGTGCATTTAAATCAGGTACCCACAAACAGAGACAGTAATATATTTATATATAAAGGGATGCACATATACCAAGTACCGTACTTGGTACAAGTACAGATACTTTTCCAGCTACTAGGCTAGAGAAAAACTCAAGTTAGGAGGCAGCTTTCATTTTTAAGGAGCATTGGCTTAGGTGCAGCTGGGATTTGTGCATCCATGTTTCAATGTATCATTTGTGTATCATTATTTTATTATTAGGGATGCACCAATACCATTTTTTCCAGACCAAGTACACGTACGGATACCTGTCCAAGTACTCACAGATACCAATACCTTTTTTTTAGTGTCATGTGACAGTTTTTCTAAAACAATACAGGCTAATGATTTCAGGACAGTGGTGTGATGCTGGTAGTTCTCGTGAAAATGCCACGTATTGGCACTTTGTACTTCCAGTGATCTACAAACAGAAGAATATTCAGATAGTTTGTTTGATTAGATGGTGTAATTACTTTTCCTACACTATATCTGACTCCAATTGTTATAATAGTGATTTATCACTCAACGAAGCAGCCTACTTTGCAAATCTGTTTGTGTTTCTATCTGAAACTCCCCACTAAGCCTGTATTTCACTACTGTGATAACTCATTCACTTTTTGTAAACAATGGGATTCTTTCCACACAGCTTAAAAGTAATCTTGCTAATGATGAGTAAAAAGTGGATTTCCATTTACACAGAGGCAGTCAAAAAGTGACCAAGCAGTGATGGTCCTCCCCATTGGAAAGCTTAGTATAACATTCAAACACAGTGTCATATAAACATCCTGCATTATATGTGTATTTGTATAATACAATATCATGAAACATCTCCATTTCGGATGATGTCGAAGCTTACACAGGGTTAATGACATTACCAACTCTCTTAGGTTTAAAACAGATTTACTAAAGAACGTGAAAAAGAGCAGGAATAAATCCTTATAGTATGTTGGCTGTTTGTGCTCATCACAATCTCTGAACCTGATTGTACCTTGGTGTACACTGTGATCCCAATATGTTGTGCCGTTTTCAATAACCTTTTCACTTAAAAAAAAAAAAAAGATGAATGTGACCGGCTCCCTAATTAATGAAATCCAAATGTACCAAGAAACCCTGTAAATATGTGACACAGGTATTTAGCATATGGAATCTCATGGGCCAGCTAGTGTTTGTGCATGTGCAAAGTACAATATCCCTCTGCTAAAGTACGGGAATTATTGTGGAACACCCAGGGCACTGTAAAGAGAAGGATGATGTGGCATGCGTAGCACACTGTTTCAGACTGTGGGTGCAACCAAACTGCACTGGTAGTGGGAGGGACTTAAAGGGGCATAGCTGAATAGAACATGAGCCTACTCTTGATATATTCACAACATACATATGCCATAGTCCTTTTCCCCCCTAATTTTTTTTTGTACTGTATGTACAACCAAACCTTTTTTGATAGAGTAGGGAAAGATTAGAACCCCTGTAAGGCTTTTTGTTGCTGTCTGTGTTTCCGTTGTGTCTACTCACCCTCTTTGTCCTGGTGGTCACTGCCAGAAAGACAAAGTAATGGGAAATCAAAAGATTGATGGGGGCATCTGTTCTGGAGAGGTAATCTCTAGAATGTTGGGAAATGTCCTATTACATCTCCAGGACAGGAAATAAATGAGGGATCTCCCCAACAGAACCCAGAAAGGATTGTCTTATGTTGCTGTTTCAAGCTATTTTGTGTTTGCCCTTTTAATAAACTGCATTCTACTTGATTTACCTGGACTACAGTGGAGTGTCCTTGTTACAATAATATAATATATATATATATATACACATATACACACACACACACACATACACAATTTATTTACTGTGCTGTAAATTAGAGTCTGACAGACAGTTGTAAACAGCACAAATTATTATGTCTCATTATATATGCTTTTTGCACACAGAATATAGACCGAGAACAGACAAGGAGTCTACTTTATAGAAGAATTTCAATAGTTGGGGACTACATAGAAAGTAGCAACTGTTGCGACAATAAACACTTTGGTCAGGAGTATGTAATTACAGTATAGCAAATAGAGTTCAGGGGTCAGGAGTATGTAAAGTAAAACATGGTGTATATAGAACAGGGGTCAAGAGTATATATTGCACAGTACAGGTGAAACTCGAATAATTAGAATATCGTGCAAAAGTTCATTTATTTCACTAATGCAACTTAAAAGGTGAAACTAAAAAATGAGATAGACTCATTACATGCAAAGCAAGATAGTTCAAGCCGTGATTTGTCATAATTGTGATGATTATGGCTTACAGCTCATGAAAACCCAGATCCACAATCTCAGAAAATTTTTGGCAGTGTGGGCAGGTGCCAAGTCCTGCTGGAAAATGAAGTCAGCATCCCCATAGAGCTCGTCTGCGGAAGAAAGCATGAAGTGCTCCAAAATCTCCTGGTAGACGGCTAAGTTGCATTAGTGAAATAAATGAACTTTTGCACGATATTCTAATTATTCGAGTTTCACCTGTATGTTAAGTTTGTAACATACAGCAATAAGTGGTATGTAATACACAGAACTGCATACAGAGTATCGTGGTCAGGAATCATTACATACACCTAATCCTTGAATTCTGTATGCTGTGCTGTATGTTGCACACTTCTGACTGGTTTACTGTATACATACAGATTGCAGAGTACTTAACACACAACAAATGAGGAGGGGAGCACTGAAACCAACAGTGGGGGGCAGAAGGGGGGGAGCAGCCCCTGTACCTCCTATAGACTGCACTGCCTGATGTCAATGGTTGCTAGAATGCCTAGCAACCAATGATTGGAGTGGTGGGGGAGGGGCTGCGCTAGATTATGGCTGCCAGTGGATGCACCAGCCTCAGAGGGTGGTATGTCCAATGTCAGGCAGCCATAACCCAGTGCAGGTTGACAATCTAAGTCCCGACAGAACCGTCACTCAGTCCGTGTCTTGACCATGGTCCACCATTTAGTGACGGCTGGTATATGGATTAAATAATTAGGAAGTCATCTAGATGGTGCAAATAATGAGAATGCCACTAAATAAAGACATGTTATAGGAATCCATAAACAGTGTGGTCACTTTTGCAGCCAAATTGGGACACCTATTTTATAATTGCTATATGTTCCCATTCATATTACATAACTTTACAATTAAAAATTGCTGCTTACATTTGAAAGTGCTTTTTACTTGTTTAAAAAAATCCTACCTAGCCCCCCCCCCCC